AAACATCATTCTTTGGGGATGCTTTTCTGCAAAGGGGACAGGACGACTGCACCGTATTGAGGGGAGGATGGATGGGGCCATGTATCGCGAGATCTTGGCCAACAACCTCCTTCCCCCAGTAAGAGCATTGAAGATGGGTCGTGGCTGGGTCTTCCAGCATGACAACGACCCAAAACACACAGCCAGGGCAACTAAGGAGTGGCTCCGTAAGAAGCATCTCAAGGTCCTGGAGTGGCCTAGCCAGTCACCAGACCTGAACCCAATAGAAAATCTTTGGAGGGAGCTGAAAGTCCGTATTGCCCAGCGACAGCCCCGAAACCTGAAGGATCTGGAGAAGGTCTGTATGGAGGAGTGGGCCAAAATCCCTGCTGCAGTGTGTGCAAACCTGGTCAAGACCTACAGGAAACGTATGATCTCTGTAATTGCAAACAAAGGTTTCTGTACCAAATATTAAGTTCTGCTTTTCTGATATATCAAATAATTATGTCATGCAATAAAATGCAAATTAATTACTTAAAAATCATACAATGTGATTTTCTGGATTTTTGTTTTAGATTCCGTCTCTCAGAGTTGAAGTGTACCTATGATAAAAATTACAGACCTCTACATGCTTTGTAAGTAGGAAAACCTGCAAAATCGGCAGTGTATCAAATACTTGTTCTCCCCACTGTATGCTAACTGGATAACAGTCATTGAAGTTCTTGGTAGCTAACCAAGTGACACCTGCATCTCTAGCTGTGTATAGCCACCGAAAAAACGATATGAGGGAAAAAAGTCAGTCACTCACCCACTCCTCCAATGGGAATGACATGACATCCACCTAGCAGCTAGCTAGCTATCTAGCAATGCAGATGACTGACTTGTGATCACTGCCCTTGCTAGTTTGATTGTATTGACATTCCCAGCCTTAGTTACATTTGTCCGTTTTTGTCCAGAATATTGAGTCATTGAAACTGAAACAGTGCATCCCGAATGGAGGCAGCAAACAATGTACCAGTCCAGCTGTGATTTACAACCTGATAGCAATATTTTTTGGACTAAAAAGAAATGTATTGGTGAATTCTATTAGTCATCCTTTGAACTGTATACATCTATTCTGCCAACAATGCCTTAGCGTACGTCATGGAACGTTGAGTCCAATATAACCTATTTTTAAAACCTCTTATGAAGCTGGTTTTATAGCATAATCAGGTAAATTGAAATGTTTTACTGATATTTTGATTGTCTGTTTGTTTCATATCTGCAAAGTAGTTAAAACGCTGTCAGTTCCACTTTAAACTTTAGGTCACTGGTTAATTTGTGTACTAAATGTGAAATGTTTTTTTTGCAATGGGAAGTAATAGTTGTACATTTTGATTGGGAAATGCTTAATGGTTGTGTTTTTGTATTGTTATGATTTCTCTGTTGTACTACATCATTGATAATTCGTGTACCTTCACTACACTACTTTGATATGCATCAGTAGTGAGTATAACCAATGCCCACTGAAAGTGGGTTTATAACTGCGTCTACCTTCCACTACACCACTGGCCCTTTGTGTTTTACAAAAAGTGAACTTTCCTACATGAGTGAGCTGGTATTAGGGTTGCTGTCACACTGAAGGCCTATAGGTTCACCACTGTCACACACTGAAGGCCTATAGGTTCACCACTGTCACCACTGAAGGCCTATAGGTTCACCACTGTCACCACTGAAGGCCTATAGGTTCACCACTGTCACACACTGAAGGCCTATATGTTCACCACTGTCACCACTGAAGGCCTATAGGTTCACCACTGTCACCACTGAAGGCCTATAGGTTCACCACTGTCACCACTGAAGGCCTATAGGTTCACCACTGTCAGCACTGAAGGCCTATAGGTTCACCACTGTCACACACTGAAGGCCTATAGGTTCACCACTGTCAGCACTGAAGGCCTATAGGTTCACCACTGTCACACACTGAAGGCCTATAGGTTCACCACTGTCAGCACTGAAGGCCTATAGGTTCACCACTGTCACACACTGAAGGCCTATAGGTTCACCACTGTCACCACTGAAGGCCTATAGCTTCACCACTGATCCAACATGTCTATAATAGATAAGGCTGTTAAGATATTAATGTATCAATAAAGGAGTGTATATATTTGGCCTGGATAAGAGGTTTTGACTGAACGGAAGCTGATCATTCTGAGTTTTTTACTCCGCCGGTCTCGACCTCTCTCGGGAAGAAATTATGAGTTAGTCCGAAGTTATTCATTAAACTTTGGATGGTGTATCAATACACCCTGTCACTACGAAAATACAGGCGTTCTTCCTAACTCAGTTGCCGGAGAGGTAGGAAACCCCTCAGGGATTTCACCATGAGGCCAATGGTAACTTTAAAACAGTTACAGAGTTGAATAGCTATGATAGGAGAAAACTGAGAATGGCTCAACATCATTGTAGTTACTCCACAAAACTAACCTAATTGACAGAGTGAAAGAAGACTGTACTGAATAAAAGTATTCCAAAACATGCATCCTGTTTGCAACAAGCCACTAAAATAATACTGCAAATAATGTGGCAAAGCAATTCACTTTTTGTCCTGAATACAAAGTGTTATGTTTGGGGCAAATCCAATACAACACATTACTGAGTACCACTCAAATCAAATCACATTTTATTGGTCACATACACATATTTAGCAGATGTTTTTGCGGGTGTAGCGAAAAGCTTGTGTTCCTAGCTCCAACAGTGCAGTAGTATCTAACAATTCACAACAATACACACAAATCTAAAAGTAAAATAATGGAATTAAGGAATACATACTGTAAATATTAGGACGAGTAATGTCGGAGTGGCATTGACTAAAATACAGTATATACATATGAAATGAATAAAACAGTGTGTAAACATTATTAAAGTGACTAGTGTTCCATTATTAAAGTGACCAGTGTTCCATTATTAAAGTGGCCAGTGATTCCATGTCTATGTATATGGGGCAGCAGCCTCTAAGGTGCAGGGTTGAGTAACCGGGTGGTAGCCGGCTAGTGATGGCTATTTAACATCCTGATGGCCTTGAGATAGAAGCTGTTTTTCAGTCTCTCGGTCCCAGCTTTGATGCACCTGTAATGACCTCGCCTTTTGGATGATAGCGGGATGAACAGGCCGTGGCTCGGGTGGTTGAAGTCCTTGATGATCTTTTTGGCCTTCCTGTGACATCGGGTGCTGTAGGTGTCCTGGAGGGCAGACAGGGTGCTAAATGATGAGCTTGGAGGGTGCAATGGTGTTGAAGGCTGAGTTATAGTCAATGAACAGCATTCATACATATTTATTCGTCAGGTCTAGATGGGATAGGGCCGTGTGCAGTGCGATGGCGATTGCATCATCTGTGGATCTATTGGTGCGGCATGCAAATGGAAGTGGGTCTAGTTTGTCAGGTAAGGTGGAGGTCATATGATCCTTAACTAGCCTCTCAATGCACTTCATGATGACAGAAGTGAGCACTACAGTTACTTTCTTGGGGACAGGAGCAATGGTGGACATCTTGAAGCAAGTGGGGACAGCAGACTGAGATACGGAAAGATTGAACATGTCCGTAAACACTCCAGGCGGCTGGTCTGCGCATGCTCTGAGGACGCAGCTAGGGATGCCGTCTGGGCCGGCAGCCTTGCGAGGGTTAACACGCATAAATGTCTTACTCACGTCGGCCATGGAGAAGGAGAGCCCACAGTCCTTGGGAGAGTGCCGCGTCGGTGGCACTGTGTTATCCTCAAAGCGGGCGAAGAAGGTGTTTAGCTTGTCTGGGAGCAAGACGTCGGTGTCCGAGACGTGGCTGGTTTTCCCTCTGTAGTCCGTGATTGTCTGGAGTCCCTGCCACATATGTCTCGTGTCTGAGCCGTTGAATTGCGACTCCACTTTGTCTCTGTACTGACAATTTGCCTTACGGAGGGAATAACTACACTGTTGGTATTCAACCATATTCCCAGTTACCTTGTCGTGGTTAAATGCGCTGGTTCGCACTTTCAGTTTTGCTTGAATGCTGCCATTTATACAAGTTTTTTTGTTTTGGGTTTTAACGGTCAAATGCAGACATTTTGATCTCAATATCAAATAATTTATGGATAACAATTGGTACCTTACTGTGATTGCTTTCAATTAAAATGGTCAAAAGAAGAAAAAGATAGCTTCTTAGTAAAGAGCAATTAGTCAAGAAATTCATTTGCTAGGACAGTCTGGGAGTGGTCTGAGTGGGGAGGGGGACACTGAAAATGTGCTGTTATTGGCAGAGAGGTTTGGAACTCTTTCTTATTGGTCTATTAACTCATTTATCACATTGTGATGTCACCGTGGAAGGCCAAAACTCCATCCCACCAAAACAGGCTGAAATTTCAGGCGGTCTTTTAAAACAGCTCTTACACTAAAAGGGCATTATATCGTAATTTTCACAATTTCACAGTATTATTTCAACCTCTTAGTGTGGAAATATATATAAAACACAGCAGAATCACGTTTCTGAATGCACTGGCCCCTTAAAACAGCAACATTTTCTTTACTCCACATGGCAAAATGTGTAGAATTTCAGGAAATATAATTTAAAACTAAAATTAGACTTAGATTGCACACAGGTGGACTTTATTTAACTAATTATGTGACTTCTGATGGTAATTGGTTGCACCAGATCTTATTTAGGGGCTTCATAGCAAAGGGGGTGAATACATATGCATGCACCACTTTTCCGTTATAAATGTTTTAGAATTTTTTGAAACAAGTTATTTTTTTCATTTCACTTCACCAATTTGGACTATTTTGTGTATGTCCATTACATGAAATCCAAATAAATATCCATTTAAATGACAGGTTGTAATGCAACAAAATAGAAAAAACGCCAAGAGGGATGAATACTTTTGCAAGGCACTGTATGTAAAATGAGTAATGACACTAAACTGTAAATACCGTTAAACTGTACTAGGCCAGATACGATCAACTTCCTTATGCCGTAATCCATCTGTTTATTCATTGGCACTGAATCAAACTCAAACCTCAGATGCAGGTTTTCTGAGCACTGCTCCTAGTTTTCTATCAGACAGGGTTTTTGTAGAGGAGAGGAGGTGCTCTCCATCACTGTGTTGGCTGGCTGCACAGTAATAAACTGCACTGTCTTCAGGTGCTCTCAGACTCAGTAGATGAAGGGAAGCCTCTTTCCAACCGTCTCCACTCACATTGAAGTGCTTTTCAAACGATTTCTCTATGGTTATTGACGTGGCATATGCATAGCCAATGAGTTTCATAGCAGTGTCTCCTGTTGACTGTTGGTACCATAGTATCGTATTGTAGCTTTGAATAGTATGGTTGCAGGTGAGTTTTACATTATCTTTAGATCCTTTTAGTATTGCAATAGGAGTCTGATGGACTTTGCTACTAAGTGACTGCCCTGGAGAGAGAGAGAGAGAGAGAGAGAGAGAGAGAGAGAGAGAGAGAGAGAGAGAGAGAGAGAGAGAGAGAGAGAGAGAGAGAGAGCATTTTATTCAGTTTAATGACATTCATAGAATTGTTAGACTTCTCTTAATGAGTGATTGAATACCTGTCACCCAGAGTGGAAGAGCTGCCAGGTGAATCAGAACTCTGATCATGGTGATGATGATGAAGGTGATGTTGCCTTGGTGGAGGAGAGATATGAGCGTCTCCTGGATGAAGCTCTGAGGTGAAAGGAGAGGGGCTGATGTAGCAGCATATTTTATTTAGGGTGGTGGTTAGTGGGAGTGTCAGAAAGTCTGTACCGTAAAGCTTGCTCATAGGACCTCACAGGGAACCTTTCTGATCATGACAATGAAATGAGACAGAAATTATTAGTAGTAGAGCAAGAGGTCCCCCTACAGGACATGATGAGACCATCTCTTCAGATATTATCTGCTATCCAATATCAACACTGGGGGTTTAGTGCAGCTGTACTTGTTATATTATATCAACACTGGGGATTTAGTGCAGCTCTACTTGTTGTATTATATCAACACTGGGGGTTTAGTGCAGCTGTACTTGTTATATTATATCAACACTGGGGGTTTAGTGCAGCTGTACTTGTTATATTATATCAACACTGTGGGTTTAGTGCAGCTCTACTTATTATATTATATCAACACTGGGGGTTTAGTGCAGCTCTACTTGTTATATTATATCAACACTGGGGGTTTAGTGCAGCTCTACCTGTTATATTATATCAACACTGGGGGTTTAGTGCAGCTGTACTTGTTATATTATATCAACACTGGGGGTTTAGTGCAGCTGTATTTGTTATATTATATCAACACTGGGGGTTTAGTGCAGCTGTACTTGTTATATTATATCAACACTGGGGGTTTAGTGCAGCTCTACTTGTTATATTATATAAACACTGGGGGTTTAGTGCAGCTGTACTTGTTATATTATATCAACACTGGGGGTTTAGTGCAGCTCTACTTGTTATATTATATCAACACTGGGGGTTTAGTGCAGCTCTACTTGTTATATTATATAAACACTGGGGGTTTAGTGCAGCTGTAATTGTCGTCTGTATCACTGTGATCACCCACAGCACATAAGTAAATGCAGCTGTCTCCTGCCTCCAACTTCTTCACTGTGAAATATCCTCTCTGAAATACAGTCTTGGTGGCTACATATTTGTCTTCACTGAAATCCCCTACATACTCAGGTTTGGCTCTGGGAATAATGAAGGCTACCTGCTTAATTCCCTCTCCTGGATGCTGTGTATACCAGTACATCTGGTAGTAGCTACCAGTGGTGGAAAAAGTGCTCAATTATCTTACTTGAGTAAAATGGTAAAGCAAAACTATATGCAATACGTCAAATTCCTTATATTAAGTAAACAAGACAGCACCATTCTTTGAAAATGTACGGACAGCCAGGGGCACACTCCAACACTCAGACATAATTTACAAAACACAGTATTTGTGTTTAGTGAGTCCACCAGATCAGAGGTGTGTGAATTGGACCATATTGCTGTCCTGCATGATAATTCAGAATGTAACATGTACTTTTGGGTGTCAAGAAAGATGTATGGGTGTAAAAAGTACATATTTTCATTAGGAATGCAGTGGATTAAAAGTAAAAGTTGTCAAAAAGATAAATACTCAAGTAAAGTACAGATACCCCAAAATACTGCTTAAGTAGTATTTTATAGCACTGGTGGCTGCCACCCTTAGTGTGACTGCATCTTATTTGAGCAGAAAGATCCTTCTGTTGAAAGAGTATGTAACGTCTGAGATCCCCAGAGATTGGAAAGCTGTCGCGGTCATCCCCCTCTTCAAAGGGGGTGACACTCTAGATCCAAACTGTTACAGACCTATATCCATCCTGCCCTGCCTTTCGAAAGTATTGGAAAGCCAAGTTAACAAACAGATCACCGACCATTTCGAATCCCACCGTATCTTCTCCGCTATGCAATATGGTTTCCGAGCTGGTCATGGGTGCACCTCAGCCACGCTCAAGGTCCTAATCGATATTATAACTGCGATTGATAAAAGACAGTACTGTGCAGCCATCTTCATCGACCTGGCCAAAGCTTTCGACTCTGTCAACCACCGCATTCTTATTGGCAGACTAAATAGCCTTGGTTTCTCAAATGACTGCCTTGCCTGGTTCACCAACTACTTCTCAGATAGAGTTCAATGTGTCAAATCGGAGGGCCTGTTATCTGGACCTATGGCAGTCTCTATGGGGGTGCCACAGGGTTCAATTCTCGGGCCGACTCTTTTCTCTGTGTATATCAATGATGTCGCTCTTGATGCTGGTGACTCTCAGATCCACCTCTACGCAGACAACACCATTTTGTATACATCTGGCCCTTCATTGGACACTGTGTTAACAAACCTCCAAATGAGCTTCAATGCCATACAACACTCCTTCCGTAGCCTCCAACTGCTCTTAAACACTAGTAAAACTAAATGCATGCTTGTTACGGATACAGGTATCCTGTGTCTTTTTGTGTTTTTCCTCTCCTTCTGCCCTAATCACAGGTGTCCTGTATGTTCCTGATTGGTGGTCGTTGGGGTGTCTGCTGATTGCTGAGGTGGACCAATCAGTGGACATTCCTCTGCATTGCACCACCTGTTTCTGGTTTTTCAATCACACATCCCATTGTTTAAAAGCCGGTCAGTTGTGTTTGTTGTTGGAGACTATTTTCCGTATGTGAGTCTGGATACTGGGGTGTCCTGTGTTTTGTGTACTCACTCATTTGCTGGTTACTCTGTTTGGTAACTTTGTTAGACTATTTTCCTAATGTGAGTCTGGATACTGGGGTGTCCTGTGTTTTGTGTACTCACTCATTTGCTGGTTACTCTGTTTGGTAACTTTGTTAGACTATTTTCCGTATGTGAGTCTGGATACTGGGGTGTCCTGTGTTTTGGGTACTCACTCATTTGCTGGTTACTCTGTTTGGTAACTTTGTTAGACTATTTTCCTAATGTGAGTCTGGATACTGGGGTGTCCTGTGTTTTGTGTACTCACTCATTTGCTGGTTACTCTGTTTGGTAACTTTGTTAGACTATTTTCCGTATGTGAGTCTGGATACTGGGGTGTCCTGTGTTTTGGGTACTCACTCATTTGCTGGTTACTCTGTTTGGTAACTTTGTTAGACTATTTTCCGTATGTGAGTATGGATACTGGGGTGTCCTGTGTTTTGTGTACTCACTCATTTGCTGGTTACTCTGTTTGGTAACTTTGTTAGACTATTTTCCGTATGTGAGTATGGATACTGGGGTGTCCTGTGTTTTGTGTACTCACTCATTTGCTGGTTACTCTGTTTGGTAACTTTGTTAGACTGTTTTCCGTATGTGAGTATGGATACTGGGGTGTCCTGTGTTTTGTGTACTCACTCATTTGCTGGTTACTCTGTTTGGTAACTTTGTTAGACTATTTCCGTATGTGAGTATGGATACTGGGGTGTCCTGTGTTTTGTGTACTCACTCATTTGCTGGTTACTCTGTTTGGTAACTTTGTGTGTTTCTGGGAAAAAGGGAATTGAAGCAAGTTGCCCTTGGGCGTACATTACCCGTAGGAAGAAAACTGTCTAAAAACACTAGTTAGACCTGAGCGGACCACCCACTGTATTTTTGTATGATTAGCAGTAGCTTAGCGGTTCTTGAGGCAGGCAAGATCAGTTTAGTTTTTTTTTTACACTATTGTTTCATTTCTTGGGTCCTGCTCAGCCCTTTTTCCCAAACCTTTACCGTGTGTTCAAAAATAAACCTTTTATGTTTGACGGTAGTTTATGGTTGTCGTGTAGTTTTTGTTCTCACTGTTCCATGTCACGCTTCTAATTTGCATGAATTATGTTACGGGTCTCTTGTCCATCCACCCTAGACGTTTAAAGCCACGGGGTTCGTAACAATGCTCTTAAATCGAACGCTGCTGGCACCCGCCCACCTGACTAGAATCGCTAATCTCGGCGGGTCTGACCTAGAGTATGTGGACATCTACAAATACCTAGGTGTCTGGTTAGACTGTAAACTCAGACCAAAATGTCACATGACAATGAGTTACAAACATGTAGACCTGAAAACAGGTTACAAACAGGTAGACCTGAAAACAGGTTACAAACAGGTAGACCTGAAATAAAATCTGCTAGTAGGTCATAAAGATGGACCTTCAGTGCCTTCAGAAAGTATTCACACCCCTTGACTTTTTCCACATTTTGTTGTTACAGCCTGAATAAACAAACTGATTAAATTAGATTTTGTGTCACAATATCCCACTTGTCAAATCACCACCATAATAAGGGTTCAAATTGTCCAGTATTTTTGTATTCATATTTCAGAACAACATATACAGTGGGGAGAACAAGTATTACCAACCAGTAAGAATTCCGGCTCTCACAGACCTGTTAGTTTTTCTTTAAGAAGCCCTCCTGTTCTCCACTGATTACCTGTATTAACTGCACCTGATTGAACTCGTTACCTGTATAAAAGGCACCTGTCCACACACTCAATCAAACAGACTCCAACCTCTCCACAATGGCCAAGACCAGAGAGCTGTGTAAGGACATCAGGGATAAAATTGTAGACCTGCACAAGGCTGGGATGGGCTACAGGACAATAGGCAAGCAGCTTGATGAGAAGGCAACAACTGTTGGTGCAATTATTAGCAAATGGAAGAAGTTCAAGATGACGGTCAATCACCCTCGGTCTGGGGCTCCATGCAAGATCTCACCTCGTGGGGCATCATTGATCATGAGGAAGGTGAGGGATCAGCACATAATTACATGGCACGACCTGGTCAATGACCTGAAGAGAGCTGGGACCACAGTTTCAAAGAAAACCATTAGTAACACACTACGCCATCATGGATTAAAATCCTGCAGCGCACACATGGTCCCCCTGCTCAAGCCAGCGCATGTCCAGGCCCATCTGAGGTTTGCCAATGACCATCTGGATGATCCAGAGGAGGAATGGGAGAAGGTAATGTGGTATGATGAGAAAAAAATAGAGCTCGGTGTGTTTGGATGAAGAAGAAGGATGAGTACAACCCCAAGAACACCATCCCAACCGTGAAGCATGGACGTGGAAACATCATTATTTGGGGATGCTTTTCTGCAAATTGGACAGGACGACTGCACCGTATTGAGTGGAGGATGGATGGGGCCATGTATCGTGAGATCTTGGCCAACAACCTCCTTCCCTCAGTAAGAGCATTGAAGATGGGTCGTGGCTGGGTCTTCCAGCATGACAACGACCCGAAACACGGTCAGTGTTGGCCTTCTGACGACGCACGGGGAGTTGGAGGTGAACGTGGGCAGCATCCCACGTCTCCTCCACACGCCGAAACCAGTCATCCCCACCGCAGGAGCCTCAGTCTGGCTCTGGTGCCACGGTGCCAGAACCGGTTGGTAACCTAGAACACACTGGAAAGGCGTTAGGGTAGTGGAGGAGAGAGTTCTGGGCATATTCTGCCTATGGCAAGAACACAGACCACTCCCCCGGCCCGTCCTGGCAGTAGGACCGCAGGAACCTACCCACGTCCTGATTTACCCGTTCCACCTGCCCATTACTCTCGGAGTGGAACCCAGAGGTCAGGCTGACCGAGACCCCCAGACGTTCCATGAACGCCTTCCAGACCTTGGACGTGAACTGGGGACCCCGGTCAGACACTATATCCTCTGGTACCCTGTAGTAGTGCCGGAAGACGTGAGTAAACAGGGCCTCCGCGGTCTGCAGGGCCGTGGGGAGACCGGGCAGAGGAAGGAGGCGGCAGGACTTTGAGAAGCGGTCCACAACGACCAGGATGGTGGTGTTACCTTGGGAGAGTGGAAGACCAGTCAGAAAATCAATGCTAAGGTGAGACCATGGTCGTTGTGGAACTGGTAACGGTTGTAGCTTACCCGCTGGGAGGTGCCTAGGTGCCTTACTCTGGGCGCACACCGAGCAGGCGGAGACGTACACCCTCACATCCTTTGCCAAGGTAGGCCACCAGTACTTTCTGCTCAGGCAACGCACTGTACGACCGATACCTGGGTGACCAGAGGAGGGTGACGTGTGTGCCCAGAAGATCAGACGATCACGGAAAAGAGCAGACACGTACTGCAGCCCAGCTGGACACTGTGGTGGAGATGGATCTGTGCGTCATGCCTGCTCTATATCCGCGTCCATTGCCCATACTACCGGCGCCACAATGCGGGAGGCCGGGCGTATGGGGGTGTTGTCTCTGGGCCTCTCCTCTGTGTCAAACAGCCTGGACAGTGCGTCTGCCTTCACGTTCTTTGTACCCGGAATGTATAGGATGTATGTAAAATCAAACCGGGTGAAGAATAGGGCCCACCTGGCCTGGCGAGGATTCAGCCTCCTCAATGCCTGGATGTACTCCAGGTTACGGTGGTCCGTACAGCCAACAGCTCCCGATCACCAACGTCGTAGTTCTGTTCCGCCGGGCTGAGTGTTGTCGAGAAGAAGGCACAGGGGCAGAGCTTGGGTGGCGTGTCCGAGCATTGGGATAGGACAGCACCCATCCCTACCTCGGACGCATCCACCTCCACTACAAACGGTAGTGATGGATCGGGGAGGGCTAGTACCGGAGCTGAGGTGAACAGACCCCGCAGTCTCCTGAAGGCCAGATCCGCCTCAGCAGACCAGCGGAGCCGGGACGACCCACCCTTCAACAGGGATGTGATGGGAGCTGCGACCTTGCCAAAGCCCCGGATAAACCTTCGATAGTAGTTGACAAAGCCAAGGAGTCGCTGCACCTCCTTAACCGTGGTTGGAGTCGGCCAATTACGAGCGGCTGAAATGCGATCTCCCTCCATCTCCACCCCTGAGGTATCCAAGGAAGGAGATGGACTGCTGGAAAAACATACACTTCTCTGCCTTAGCATAAAAGTCATTCTCCAACAGTCGGGCCAGCACCTTGCTAACCAGGGACACATGCTCAGTGCGAGAAGCGGAATACACCAGGATGTCATCAATGTAGACCACTACAACGCGACCAAGCATGTCCCGAAACACCTCGTTCACAAAGGACTGGAAAACTGAGGGAGCATTCATCAAACCATAGGGCATCATAGGGCATCACCAGGTATTCATAATGTCCTGTGGTCTCCCTATTCAGTAGTCAATAATCAATGCACGGGCGCAGACCTCCATCCTTCTTCTTCACAAAGAAGAAACTTGAGGAGGCGGGTGAAGTGGAGGGACGTGTATACCCCTGACGCAGGGACTCTGTGACATATGTCTCCATAGCCACCGTTTCCGCCTGTGACGGGGTATATATGACTCCTGGGACGTACAGCGTCTACCCTGAGGTTTACCGCGCAATCCCCCGCCCGGTGAGGTTGTAACTTAGTCGCCTGCGTTTTAGAGAACGCTTGCGCCAGATCACAGTATTCAGGGGGAATGCGCACGGTGGAGGTACTATCTGGACTTTCCACCGTGGTTGCACCAACGGAAACATCTAGACACCTACCCTGACACTCACGCGACCACCCCGTGAGAGCCCTCTGCGGCCATGAGAAGGTGGGGTTGTGGAGTGCTAGCCAAGAGATACCTAATACCACAGGGAAAGCAGGAGATTCAATAATCGAAAAAATCACCTGCTCAAAATGATTCTCCTGAGTGATCATGGTGACTGGTATAGTGACTTCCATAACAAATCCGGTATCGAGTGCTCTGAGGGGACGTTGATGGAGAGGGGAACCAATGAAATGCCTTGACGGCGTGCGAATGCCCTATCCATAATGTTCCCAGCTGTGCCTGAATCGACTAGCGCCTTACACTGGGGAACTACCATGTGATCGGGAAAGTGGATAGGTAGGGTACAGTGCACAACAGAGGGCTCTGAACAAGTGTGGGTGTTCAATACCTGGGGTGATGTTTGAGTGCCCTGCCTGCCGCCTCCAGGCCCAAAAGAATGTTGACTACGACGTGTGGTGGATTGTCCCTTCGTGCCACCAGAGTGGCACTGTCGCTGTCCTCCTCCGCTCTCTCGGCTGGCGGCTCCACCCAGCTCTATCGGCTCGTGGTCCGAGTCTTCCGGGGTGGAAACGGGCAGACCCCTACCAGGACGTCCTCTGGCTGCCAGTAGGTTGTCCAACCGAATGGACATGTCCACCAGTTTATCGAAGGACAACATGGTGTCCCGGCAGGCTAGCTCCCGTCGGACGTCCTCCCGCAGATGGCACCGGAAATGGTTGATCAGGGCCCACTCGTTCCACCCGGACCCCGCTGCCAGCGTCCGGAACTCCAACGCGAAGTCCTGCGCGGTCCTCGTCCCCTGCCTCAGGTGGACCAGTAGCTCACCCGCCTCTCGACCCTCGGGCAGGTGGTCGAATACCGCCCAAAAGAGGCGAGCGAACTCCCTGTAGTCCTCCAACGCGGCTCCTCCTTTGTTCCACACCGCGTTGGTCCACTCCAGGGCTTTCCCACAGAGGCATGAAACGAGGACGGACACCTTCTCCCGCTCCGATGTTGCCGGCCTGATGCTGGCGAAGTAAAGCTCCAATTAGAGGAGGAATCCCTGGCACAGCGCCGCTGTCCCCTCAAACGCCTGTGGTCGGGATATATGGATCCCTCCTGGTGCTGGGGTGTAGGTGGCTGGATCCGGTTGGCCAGCTGGTCTCGACAGATCGGGTCTGCTCCTCTCCAGGCTTTGGACGACTTGAAGAACCTGATCAATCGCTTCCCCCAAGCTGGCCAGCATCGTGGTGTGCTCCTGGACCTGTGCCACGATTCCAGGCATGCGCTCTTGTCCCGCTGACTCCATAGCGGGTGGGTAATTCTGTGATGCGTGTGATAGAAGGAGTCAGGCGCAGGAGAGTAAAAGCATCCAAAGAGTTTATTCCGTCGATAAACAGTTGCACAAGCATGCGACAACAAAACTCAGGCACAGGGGAAATATCTACCCTGGCAACAACAAGGTAAGGGTAGCTCAACCGAGCTACACACAGCTCACTACAAACAATCACACACACAGACAAGGAAGCAGAGGGAACACTTATAAAATGACTAATTGGGGATAAGGACCAGGTGTGTGTGATTAATTAGACAAGACAAGTGGAGTGATGATAAATGGATCAGCAGCAGCTAGTAAGCCGGTGACGACGAACGCCGAAACCTGCCCGAACAAGGAGGGGAGGCAGCCTCGGCGGAAGTCGTGACAGTTACAATCTATCTGCAATGTTAAAGCTGCTCTTCCCCCTAAAAAAAAAAAAAAAGAATTAAAAAAAAAAGACTGAAATTTCAGTCCGTCTTTTCAAACATCTCTTACACTAAAATGGCACTATCATAATTTTCACTATTTCACAGTATTATTTCAACCTCATAGTGTTGAAATATATATAAACCACAGCAAAATCACGATTTTGAATGCACTGGCCCTTTAAAACAGAAACATTTTCTTTACTCCCCATGGCAAAATGTGTAGAATTTCAGGAAATGTACTTTAAAACAAAAAATGGTATCTCCAGTCAAGAGGTTGGCCACTAAAATGTTTGGCTGCTAGGTCAGGGGCCCCCAGCAAAATCTCGCTTAGGTCCCCAAAAGGCTAAAAAAACGGGATATGACATTGTAACCACATAATTTATGTTAATGAGTAATGACACTAAACTGCAAATACTGTTAAACTGTACTAGGCCAGATACGATCAACTTGCTTATGCCATAATCCATCTGTTTATTCATTGGCACTGAATCAAACTCAAACCTCAGATGCAGGTGTTCTGAGCACTGCTCCTAGTTTTCTATCAGACAGGGTTTTTGTAGAGGAGAGGAGGGTATCTACATCACTGTGTTGGCTGGCTGCACAGTAATAAACTGCACTGTCTTCAGGTGCTCTCAGACTCAGTAGATGAAGGGAAGCCTCTGTCTGACCGTCTCCACTCACACTGAAGTGCTTTTCAAACGATTTCTCCATGGTTATTGACGTGGCCAATGCATAACCAATGAGTTTCATAGCAGTGTCTCCTGTTGACTGTTGGTACCATAGTATCATGTTGTAGCTTTGAATAGTGTGGTTGCAGGTGAGTTGTACATTATTTTTAGATCCTTTTAGTATTGCAATAGGAGTCTGATGGACTTTGCTACTAAGTGACTGCCCTGGAGAGGAGGGAGAGAGAGAGAGAGAGAGAGAGAGAGAGAGAGAGAGAGAGAGAGAGAGAGAGAGAGAGAGAGAGAGAGAGAGAGAGAGAGAGAGAGAGAGAGAGAGAGAGAGAGAGAGAGAGAGAGAGAGAGAGAGAGAACATTTTATTCAGTTTAATGACATTCATAGATTTGTTAGACTTCTCTTAATGAGTGATTGAATACCTGTCACCCAGATTGGAAGAGCTGCCAGGTGAATCAGAACTCTGATCATGGTGATGAAGAAGAAGGTGATGTTGCCTTAGTGGAGGAGAGATATGAGCGTCTCCTGGATGAAGCTCTGAGGTGAAAGGAGAGGGGCTGATGTAGCAGCATATTTTATTTAGGGTGGTGGTTAGTGGGAGTGTCAGAAAGTCTGTACCGTAAAGCTTGCTCATAGGACCTCACAGGGAACCTTTCTGATCATGACAATGAAATGAGACAGAAATTATTAGTAGTAGAGCTAGAGATCCCCCTACAGGACATGATGAGACCACTCGCTTTCCTTCAGATATTACTGCTATCCGATCTCAACACTGGGGGTTAGTGCAGCTCTACGTTTTTATATTATATCCAAACTGGGGGTTTTAGTGCAGCGCTACTTGTTATATTATATCAACACTGGGGGTTTAGTGCAGCGTACTTGTTATATATAATCAACACTGGGGGTTTTAGTGCAGTCTGTACTTGTTTAATCTTATTCAACTACTGGGGTTTATGCAGCTGTACTTGTGTATATTATATCAACCTGTGGTTTAGTGCAGGCTCGACTGTTATATTATATCAACACTGGGGGGTTTATGGGCAGCTCATACTTGTTATATTATATCAACCTGGGGTTTAGTGCAGCTCACACTTGTTTATTATCAACATGGGGTTTAGTGCAGCTGTCTTGGTTATAATTATATCAACAACTGGGGGTTTAGTGGCAGCTTGTCTTGTTATATTATTACACTGGGGTTTAGTTGCAGCTCTATTGTTATTATAATAACACTTGTGGTTTAGTGCAGCTCTCTTGTTTTATTATATCAACAACTGGGGGTGTTATGCAGCTTCCTACTTTGTTATAATTATATCAACACTGGGGTTTAGTGGCGCTCCTACTTGTTATAATTATAATAAACCACGGTGTTTTAGTGCAGCTCTACTTGTTATATTATAGCCATCCTGTGGTTTAGAGTGCGCGCTAACTTTTTATATATATCACACTGGAGTAGTGCACTGTACTGTTATATTATATCAACACGGGGGGTTTAGAGTGCGCTGTACTTGTTATCTTATATCACCTGGGGGTTTAGTGCAGCTGTACTTGTTATTGATATCAAACACTGGGGTTTAGTGCAAATCTACTTGTTATATTATATCAACAACTGGTGGTTTAGTGCAAGCTCTACTTTGTTATATTATATCAACACTGGGGGTTTATGCGCGTACTTGTTATATTTACAACACGGGTGGTTTCGAGTGGCAAGCTTCTTGTTATATTATATCAACACTGGGGTTTAGTGCAGCTCTACTTGTTTATTATATCAACACTGGGGGTTTAGTGCAGCTCTACTGTTATATTATATCAACACTGGGGGGTTTAGTGCAGCTCTACTTGTTTATATTATATCCACACTGGGGGGGTTTAAGGTGGCAGCTGTACTTGTTATATTATATCAACACTGGGGGTTTTAGTGCAGCTGTATATTTGTTATATTTATATCACCAACTGGGGGTTTAGTGCAGCTGTACTTGTTATATTATATCAACACTGGGGGTTAGTGCAGCTCTACTTGTTATATTATTCAACAACTGGGGGGTTTAGTGCAGCTGTACTTGTTATATTATATCAAACACTGGGGGGTTTAGTGCAGCTGTACTTGTTATATTATATCAACACTGGGGGTTTAGTGCAGCTGTACTTGTTATATTATATCAACACTGGGGGTTTAGTGCAGCTGTACTTGTTATATTATATCAACACTGGGGGGTTTAGTGCAGCTATTACTTGTTATATTATATCAACACTGGGGGTTTAGTGCAGCTCTACTTGTGTATATTATATCAACCATGGGGGTTTTAGTGCAGCTGTACTTGTTATATTATACAACACTGGGGGTGTTAGTGGCAGCTGATACCTTGTTTATATTATATCAACACTGGTGGGTTTAGTGACAGCATGGTACGTTGTTATATTATATCAACACTGGGGGTTTAGTGCAGCTCTACTTGTTACTATAGATCAACACTGGGGGTTTAGTGCAGCTGTCCTTGGTTTATCTTATATTCAACAACGGGGGTTTGGTGGCAGGCTCTACTGTTGATATTATATCAACACTGGGGGTTTTAGTGCAGCTCTACTGTTATAATTATCTCAACACTGGGGGTGTTAGTGCAGCTGGTATTTGTTATTATATATCAAACACTGGGGGTTTTAGTGCAGCTGGTAATTGTCGTCTGTATAACCTGTGATCACCCACAGCATGTACGTACTTGCAGTTGTCTCCTGCCTCCAACTTCTTCACTGTGAAAGATCCTCTCTGAAATACAGTCTTGGTGGCTACGTATTTGTCTTCACTGAAATCCCCTACATACTCAGGTTTGGCTCTGGGAATAGTGAAGGCTACCTGCTTAATTCCCTCTCCTGGATGCTGTGTATACCAGTACATCTGGTAGTAGCTACCAGTGGTGGAAAAAGTGCTCAATTATCTTACTTGAGTAAAATGGAAAAGCAAAACTATATGCAATACGTCAAATTCCTTATATTAAGTAAACAAGACAGCACCATTCTTTGAAAATGTACGGACATCCAGGGGCACACTCCAACACTCAGACATAATTTACAAAACGCAGTATTTGTGTTTAGTGAGTCCACCAGATCAGAGGTGTGTGAATTGGACCATATTGCTGTCCTGCATGAGAATTCAGAATGTAACAAGTACTTTTGGGTGTCAAGAAAGATGTATGGGTGTAAAAAGTACATATTTTCCTTAGGAATGCAGTGGATTAAAATTAAAAGTTGTCAAAAAGATAAATACTCAAGTAAAGTACAGATACCCCAAAAAACTGCTTTAGTAGTATTTTATAGCACTGGTGGCTGCCACCCTTAGTGTGACTGCAGCTTATTTGAGCAGAAAGATCCATCTGTTGAAAGAGTATGTAACGTCTGAGATCCCCAGAGATTGGAAAGCTGTCGCGGTCATCCCCCACTTCAAAGGGGGTGACACTCTAGATCCAAACTGTTACAGACCTATATCCATCCTGCCCTGCCTTTCGAAAGTATTTGAAAGACAAGTTAACAAACAGATCACCGACCATTTCGAATCCCACCGTATCTTCTCCGCTATGCAATCCGGTATCCGAGCTGGTCATGGGTGCACCTCAGCCACGCTCAAGGTCCTAAACGATATTATAACCGCAATCGATAAAAGACAGTACTGTGCAGCCGTCTTCGTCGACCTGGCCAAAGCTTTCGACTCTGTCAACCACCGCATTCTTATTGGCAGACTAAATAGCCTTGGTTTCTCAAATGACTGCCTCGCCTGGTTCACCAACTACTCAGATAGAGTTCAATGTGTCAAATCGGAGGGCCTGTTATCTGGACCTATGTCAGTCTCTATGGGGGTGCCACAGGGTTCAATTCTCGGGCCGACTCTTTTCTCTGTGTATATCAATGATGTTGCTCTTGCTGCTGGTGACTCTCAGATTCACCTCTACGCAGAGAACACCATTTTGCATACACCTGGCCCTTCATTGGACACTGTGTTAACAAACCTCCAAATGAGTTTCAATGCCATACAACACTCCTTCCGTAGCCTCCAACTGCTCTAGTAAAACTAAATGCATGCTCTTCAATCGAACGCTGCTGGCACCCGCCCACCCGACTAGAATCACTACTCTCGGCGGGTCTGACCTAGAGTATGTGGACATCTACAAATACCTAGGTGTCTGGTTATACTGTAAACTCTACTTCCAGACTCACATTAAGCATCTCCAATCCAAGGTTAAATCTAGAATCGGCTTCCTATTTCGCAACAAAGCCTCCTTCACTCATGCTGCTAAACATGCCCTCGTAAAACTGACTATCCTACCGATCCTTGACTTCGGCGATGTCATTTACAAAATAGCCTCCAACACTTTACTCAGCAAATTTGATGTAGTCTATCACAGTGCCATCCGTTTTGTCACCAAAGCCCCATACACTACCCACCACTGTGACCTGTACGCGCTTGTTGGATGGGCCTCACTACATATTCGTCGCCAAACCCACTGGCTCCAGGTCATCTATAAATCTCTGCTAGGCAAATCCCTGCCTTATCTTAGCTCATTGGTCACCATAGCAACACCCTGCCGTAGTATGCGCTCCAGCAGGTATATCTCACTTGTCATCCCCAAAGCCAACACCTCCTTTGGCCGCCATTCCTTCCAGTTCTCTGCTGCCAATGACTGGAACAAACTGCAAAAATCTCTGAAGCTGGAGACTCTTATCTCCCCCACTAACTTTAAGCATCAGTTGTCAGAGCAGCTTACCTGTACACAGCCCATCTGTAATCAGCCCACCCAACTACCTCATCCCCATATTGTTATTTATTTTGCTCATTTGCACCCCAGTATCTATATTTGCACATCATTAAATTAACATTTTAGTCATGTAGCATACGCTCTTATCCAGAGCAACTTACAGGAGCAATTAGGGTTAAGTGCCTTGCTTAAGGGCACATCGACAGATTTTTCACCTAGTCGGCTCGGGGATTAGAACCAGCGACCTTTCGGTTACTGGCACAATGCTCTTAACCACTAAGCTACTCTTGCACATCTATCATTCCAGTGTTAAAACTAATTGTAATTATTTTGCCCTATAGCCTATTTATTGCCTTACCTCCATACCTTGCTACATTTGCACACACTGTATATATATTTTCTGTTGTATTTTTGACTTTGTTTTGTTTACCCCATATGTAAATCTGTGTTGTTGTTTTTATCGCACTGCTTTGATTTATCTTGGCCAGGTCGCAGTTGTAAATAAGAACTTGTTCTCAACTGGCTTACCTGGTTAAATATAGGTGAAATAAAAAAAATATTTAAAAAAATGTTCTGTAGGACCTAGAAGTACACAGTCAGACCAAAATGTCATATGACAATGAGTTACAAACAGGTAGACCTGATAACAGGTTACAAACAGGTAGACCTGATAACAGGTTACAAACAGGTAGACCCGATAACAGGTTACAAACAGGGAGACCTGATAACAGGTTACAAACAGGTAGACCTGATAACAGGTTACAAACAGGTAGACCTGATAACAAGTTACAAA